GCCCGGTCCATGGGCCCGGCACCGCTCCCCGGCGGGACGCGGACGGCGGGGTCAGAGCGCCGGGCTGCCGGCGCTGCCTCCGCCGCTCCGCACGGCTCGCCTGCCCTCCAGCGGCCGCCCCGCAGCCCCGGGGAAAGCCCAGAGGCTTCCTCCGCCTCAGCTTTGGGGAGGTTTTTTGCTTGTTTGGGGGTTTGCTTTTTTAAGAAAAAAAAAAATCACACGCTGATAGCGTGTGGTAACTCTTTCCTCTTGTCTGAAAGCTCGTTTATAGCAGACAAGATGCCGGGAACCGTTAACCTCCACGCATAGCCGAACTCTCCAAAGAGCACCCAACGTCAGTTAACACCTTATTAAGTGAGAACATAACCATAGCTCAGAACTCTGAGCTTTCCAAATTCTCCACTCAAATAACGTGCATCAGCGCAGCGTGTCGGGCCCAGCTGCTCCCACCTCTGCAGGGACCCAGGTGCTCGCTCCCCCGGCACTCTCAGCCACAAATCAAGCAACATCTTTAATCCCTGGAGTTCATCACTGGGGAGCCTTCAGGTATGAAGTCACAGGGCTTTTCGGCCCATAGTTTCAGGCCCAAGAGGCACAGAAAACATTAAGTTTTAAAACAGTGATCAAAGCAAGTCCTTATAAAATTCCCTGCACTAACACATGTCTGTGATGTATCTAACAGACTTCACACTTCTGGTCTTATGGATCTGCAAGTTTAAAAAAAAACCCAAAAAACAAAAAACCCAACCTGCTGTCAATTGCTGATGTCACCAACATCAGAAGCCCCATGCATCCCTGTCCTGGCAGTCCCATGGCATCTTGCCAGAGCTGAAAGCTGCTTTCACACATGGCCAAGAACATCAGAGCCACAAGTTGAGCTCACCAAGATGCCTACACCAGAACAATTCAGAATTTGGGGATTCACAAGATCACAGTATTTAGCTTAGATGTGAAAATATTCCATATATCCCTAATCATCACCAGTACCTCATTTCTTGGAAGCAGTTTGGGTGGCAGAAGCCCAGCCTGTGCCATCTTCTGCTAGTAGGTGCTGCTCAGCCCCACAGGAAAGGTACCCACAGCACAGGGTCATGCCCACCACCAGCCCCTCGCCTTGCTAAGTGCAGTATCTGCTGCCCAATGCACACAGGAGTTCTGCAAAGCCAGAGGCAGTAACTCCTCCAAAACCCTCACAGTCACCTGTGGGCATGAGTTTTGACTGCTCTTCAGGCTTTTCCATCACCTGCCTCCAAGTAAAAAGCTCCGCAGACGGTCACTGATGGCTCTGCCCTACACCCAAGCTGCCCCAGGGCTGCTGCACCTGGCTGGAAGCAGAACAGCTCAAAAAGGAATTTGTAAAGCTGCTGCTAACATTTATCATTTTAATTGCCCCAACAGCAAGTAAAATTACAGCAGCTACAACAGAGCTGTGAGCTACGCATGGAAAAACTCATCCCAGGCGATGCTGGCCCAGACCATGCTGAGGAGCCACGTGCTGGTAGCACAGCTGCCCCCACAGCCATGACCCAAAGGATTTGGATCCATACAGGCCAGAGGGACCTGGACATCTCAAACAGCAAAAACTGCCAGGGCAACACCAGGGGTCGTTTTAAAGAGGGCATATGAGGGTTTTCTTCTTTCAATTATTGTATTTGCAATCACAAAAGTTATTTTTTAAAATAGATCCATCTTTTGTGCCTCAGTAGTCTGGCAAAACCCCTAAATCTTCAATATCCAAATAGTTACCTAGAGAATAATACCAATGTTGGGTGAATTTCAGACTACCACACAACAACAACACAGATGGGGCACAGAATAGAGAAGAGGCAGTTCATACATGTCTCTGAAAAAATAGAAATATCATCTAGTGGCGTGCTATTATGAACACATACGAGTGTGTGTGTATGTGTATATATATAAAATATTAAAAGCTCCACACCCAAACCCGTTGCTCCACTGCTGAAGGCTCCTGTGTGATCAGATTCCCAGCACAAATCCAGCCAGAGCAGCTGATGCCCACTGGAAAACCTTTAAGGGTGTTTATTTTTCTTACAGCACGCTCAGGGTGTGAAGGCTGACACAGCACGTTCCTGATGTCCTCAACACTTTATAAACCAAGACAGGGCCAGGTAGGAGCATGCACTGCAGGACACCTGGGGAGCTCCTGGGGTTACTGCCTTCCACTCACCCTTGCAACTGCCTGAATTAAGGCTGTGTCCTACAGTCCCTCGGTGCCTTATTGGATTAGTGACTGCCCTTCAGCAGCTGAAATCAAAGTCTGAGCAGCCTGACCTTTCGCTTGCAGGGCAGTGGAGGTGCCCCCAGTGAAATGAGCTTCCCTCGCCCTGCTCCACTGGTCCATATCCCACGAGGAGCGGGCATTTCACAGAGCATGGAACCCATTCAATGGGGCCAAGGACTTAAGAGCATGCTTGAATGGGAAGCCTTCCTACCCCAGATACCCCTTTGGAATGTGAAAGAGAAGCCAGCAGGAATGGCCGGGATCTGGCCCCGCTGCATCTGGCACACCAAGATTGAAATTAAAATGAAAAACGTGGGCTGATGTTGTACAAAGACCAAGTTCAGCTCTACATCCCATCCCTGCTGCCAGTGAGCAAACCTGTGTGTGGTTTGCTCCTGTTATCTGCATCTCCAGCCTTGTGTTGTTCCTATAAACAAACTTTTTCTTACAAAAAATCCAAATGAAGAGGTTTTCTTAATTTGAAAGCCTTGGTAAAAGGAAAGACAACTTTCAGACTGACTAGGGGTGCATGTTCTGCCTTTATCCAGTTTACACACAAAAAGACAACTTCATCCCAAGGTAAGGAACGCTTCTGCCACATAGTCTGGACACTCAGGGAAGGAGGGCATGCTTTGCAGTTACTGCCATTTGACAGAAGAGCCACCTCAAATTGACTCTGAACTGTCCAGGAGGACAGGACTTGAGCCTCAGCTCCACCACATCCAGGCACAGTCTTGCGGAAGGAATATGGTGAAGAACAGTCAGTACTTGGATTCAGCCATCACAGCCTGGACATCCTGGGAACATCAGCCATCACAGCCGGGACATCCTGCTGCAACTGCAGCATCCCTTCCAGCTCTTGACCACAGGGATGTCTCGTGGCCACTTGCAGAGAGAACCCAGCATGCTGCAGCCCTTATTCTGATGTGTATCATTACTTTATAAGAGAAAAGAAACCTTAGAGAGGCAGGCATTATTCAGCAGGCAGGGTTTCAGAGTTTACAAAGGTTTTAATCCACTGGAACACCCCTTGGATTTTCAATGGAATTTGGGGACTGAAACCTCAGATTCCTCTAAAAGCTCCAGCATACTCATAAACAAATCCCAGTGCTTTATCAGCAGAGCAATGAGGCAAATGAAATCCCTGACAATGATGGACATCTCAAGCTAAAGGGCAGACCAGTGGGTTGGCTGAACACCTTGCTCTCCTGGGTATCCAGCCCCTCTCCAGTGCCCAGGGCCCCTTTCCAGAGCCTGCTCCCACCCTGTGTCCCCCAGCCTGACCACCCTGCTCCAGTGTCTGGCACAGGGTGGACACACATGGGCTTTCTTTGATCCTAGTGCCCAGGAGCACTGCAGCTCCAGTCTGAAAGCATGCGACAGCTGCTAGAATGCTTTTGAAGGGAGGCAAGAACAGGCCAACCTCTGCAGACAGCCCTACACAAACCAGTGGGAAATTCCACTTTTCACTTTTCAGCCTTTGCACTGCATTAAATCCTAGGGCTTGGCTCCTTGGATTTATATTCCTCTATAGTTTCACTTTTCCCTAAAAAAAAAAAATAAAAAATTAAAAAAATCACAAGCTGTTAAGCTTCAAAACTTAATATTTCCTTAACTTAGAGCTTTTCAGCTCAACAGCTCTTAAACATAAACCTCTTTGACTGAAGTCTTCTGAATTAAGCTGTCTCCAGCAAGTCACCATCTCAAGCGCTGTCTGTGGGATGACCAGTCCCTCCCACAGCAGCACCCTGGGCTCCTGCCCTCTGCCCCAGCTGCTGGCTCAGGGCAGGACCTCACACAATATGCATGACCACCCATGTCCCCACAGCTGGCAGTGACTGCAGGGGCAGTTCAGGGCTGATGCAGGCACTGACTGGTGACATCAGACATCTCAATGCCCTGTGTCACTGTCCCTAGTGGTGACACAAGTGAATGAGTAACCCCAGAGGAACTCAGGGTGGGCTGTGAGACAGGACAGTTTCTGAAAACAACACTGGAAAACCTGTGATTCTACTAATCTTTCTGAAGAGCAACTGTAGCCACACTTTGCATCAAAGCCAGAATTCAGAAAACATCATATGGGTGGATTTACACAAAAACAAAAAAAAAAGGAAAATGCCATTTTTCTGCAATGTCACAGATCAGTAAAGAGACATCACTGGAAGTCCCATTCTCCTGGAGCATGCACAAACATCCCCTGCAAGCAGAGCCCCACCCACTTGGAGGCAGGAGGGCTTTTGGAGCAGCAGGGCTTTTATCAGCCTTCTCCACCATGGCCACAATGAGGGCACCAGCCACAGCTGGGCTCCTAGGGACACTGCCAAGCAATCCAGATGGGACAGATTCATGCAGGAGCACCATGTTTGCCGTGGTGTCTAAGCTTTTCCTAGAGATCAGGGAAACGCCATGCTGCTTCAACAGCAGTGGCTAGGGAAGACTGAAGGAACTGAAAAGGATCAGAAGACTGAAAAGTCTGAAGAGCAGTGAAGGACTAAGTAAGGAGAAGATTGTGGCAAGATGTAGAACTAAGAAGGAGTTGGAAAGGACTATTTAGAACCAAAAGCTAGAGGGAACAAGTAGAAGCAACTCTCCTAATTCAAGACCCTAAAAATGAAGCCAAGATCCTCCAATCTCCCTGTCCTGTGCTCTCTGGAGATCACAAGGACTGGCTGAGTGCCCTGCACTACAGTGGTCCAATATTATGTTATTGCCCTTAACTAAAGTTATTGAGTTAAAATTTATTTTCCATGTAGAAAATTAGAAGGCTTGAAAATATGGGAAAAATATTTTAAGAAACAGGGAAGAATGTCCTAAACACTAGAGGTGGCCTTATTATTAAATTGAAAGCTTTGCTCATTAGCTGTAGCTCTGCACTGTTGTTGGTGTCCTCACACACATTTACATGCAGGGAACAGCTTTACACTGTTCGAAGCAGTGCCCAGATAGCATTCACTGCCTCAAAATAGCATGGTAAGGGCTGCTAGGAGCCTTTTATCAAGGACATTCCTGGGAAAATAGCACAATTACAAGCTTTGGGACAAATGTAAGGAGCAGTGGGAAAAGTTTCATGAACAGACACAGATAAAGGTGGCTGCAGTGGTGAAATGCCAAATACCTCAACAGCTACATCTTCAACTCTCCCTGCAATTATTACTCATTAAGAAAAACCAAACCCAATGTAAAACCTAAGGCTTAATTTGAAAACAGGCAAGAGAAACTGTTTTCTCTTAAATACAGTAAGTCAACAGAATTGGATGGGGCTCAGCAAGTTTCAGGCCCCAGCAATTGGTGGAGTAAGACTCCAGGACCCTTCTAACAAAATTGACTTCAATTAAAGGCATTTAATTGAAAAGGCACCGTTTGTAGTACCAGTGTAATCACTTGAGGTGCATCAGGTGCATCTGCTCTGAGTGGCCTAGCTCTGTTCTCTCTGTTTGCCATTTGCAGTAGAAGCAGGGTGGTGGCCATGCCCTTGTCCTGGACAAGGCTCTGGGCAGCAGCAGCACATGGCATTGGCATGGCCAGCTCAGTGAGAGTGGGCACTGTTAGAGGTACCCTGCTGAGCATCCCTCCCAGGGTCTTCACTTTTCCCAGTCTCACTTTTGACCCTTTCTGGCTTGTTTTCTCACAGGATCCTTTTCCCATAGATGCTCTTATGGCTTGGTCATGTAGTGGTGACAGAAGGTGGAAGAAGTTTTTGAAGAAAGAAGAGCAGAAGTCACCTTCATACAACTGGACATAGGCCATACATGTGGTGCCCACAGCACACATCTTAATTAACATTTGATTGATTTACTTGGTCCCAATTAGGCACTGCTTAACATCCATTTACTTAACACAATCCAAAGGCCAGTCACTGGAGAGCTGTTCCAACATAACAAGAACTGCTCCCAAAAGTGTCCATGCAGGTAACCAGTGAGCAGCCAGGTGGGTATTCCCTGTGCTACCTGCAAACAAGTCAGGCCCCTTCAGGCACACCTGCAAATCCAGCATCAATTTTCCTGCACCCCATCACACACACTCAGCTGTCTGTGTTCACACTGAGAACCAGGCTGAGACAAAGCAATCTTTAATAATAAATACCAGATCACAAAACTTCCAAACCTCACTCAAGACAATCAACTGCACTTGCTGTTGCTTGCCAGAACCTACTGCCCACTAGCCAAGGGCAGGAATAAAGGTGCTGTGCTCCATCCAACACTGAGCTCCAAACCACCCCATTCTTCTGTAGCTTTTTCTGACATTCTGACATAGGATCCCGTCTTTAACACCCTTTTGGGAAAACAGTGAGGAGAATAAGGATCTAGGTGCTGGCTACACAGAGAAAGAAGGAAAGAAAAGTTGAGAGAGTTTTGCTGCTAGTCAGTAATGGCACGTGCAAAAGAGACAGGACATGGCTTGGGGTATCTGGGCAGGAGCATGAACTTAGCCCCTGAGGGACTGTCTGGGTGGCAAGGAGCCCAGAACCGCCACCTATCCTGGCCCTGTTTTCCATTTCCTCAGCCCACACACACTCCCACCCTCCTGCCAACCATGCTTGAGTTGCTTCTCTCCAAAGGCTACAACAATTGCTGAGCACAGGCAAAGAGCCTCGCAGTCATCACAGCCCCTGGACTCTGAAAAGCCACACTGGCAGGTTTGCTGGATCAAAGGAGCAAAGAGAACCCCAGGACAGACCTGAAGCAGCCACAAACACTTCTCTTGAACACCCCTAGGAATAAGGTACAGAGTGAGAGCTCCTAACAGGATGGTGTCCTTCTGTTATCACCTCTTCTGAAGTGAGATGCCAAGAGACACCAGAGACAGAAGAGACCCATATGGAGCAGCTCTATCTGCAGCCAACACAGCACTCGCACACACCCACTCAGCTGGGTGGCCTCCCCTTTGTCCCACACAGTGAGACACCAGCTACCTGTTCACTGTAGGGAATGAAACACGTGCAGGAGGAACTATGAAAAAAGCCAGAATTGACAGGATCTGCAACAGGAAAGGCAGCAGGAGGGGAAATTCACGTACAAAGGAAAGGTGAAGGCACTGCTACCTGGAGAGGCATTTCATCACCCTGTAAAGAAGTCGCTTTCCCATCAGTGTTAGGAAATAGCAATGCATTTGGCTGTGGAGCTCCATGCTCTCAAATAAGCCATCCTCAAGGACCAGGATCACACAGAGGCTCAGAACCCCCAACACAGCTATCAAAACACTACAGCTTTGTTGCCATCATTACCATGGCAAGAACATGTTTCAACTCTGCAGAAAGTCAAAAGCAGTACTTCAAAAATCCACATCTGGCATTTGTCTTTTCTCTTCAACAGGTATTTTCACATCTGAGCTTATTTTAAAATCAAATTTTGAGCTCTGTTTGAAGCAAAAGAACTGGCAGCTGCACATGAACATCCAAGAGGATACAGCTGCATCCAGTCATCAGACAGCTAGTCCCAAAAGGAGCCAGGGTTTGTTGACCAGCACAACAGCAGAGGTAGGGAACCACCAGTGACCACCCCTCGCTACTCCATCAACTGGCAGAGAACAATGCAAGACCTAACCAGGGCCAAGTGAAGTTATTGTTATGCCATGAGGGTGCCTCAAAGATGCCTCATGAGGTTCAACAGCGCCTGACAACCACTTGACCTACATTGTATCTCAGCACCAGCACAGCAACGATTTCCTTCAGAGCTGCCCATACAGGCTCTGCATTCCCCCTGCAATGCTTGTGCACAGTGTGCCTGCACCCCAGACCTGCTTTGGTCAGTCACCTACAAACACCCTGGCCTTTCTTAAAACTTTAGTAATCAGAGTATTTTACTGGCTAGTAATTTCTTGCTGAAATTACTGTACAATTTTCACTTCTTTCTGCCAAAATTGAGGGCAATTTTGCTTAAATTAGCTGTGCCATTAGCTGTTTCACCAGGGAAATCTGCTCTCACTTGTGAATATGACATCATCTATTGACATAACCCCACCAAAACAGGCATTTCAAACTGTTATACTCTGCCACTTCACGTGCTGCAATTACACTCAAGCTTAAACAAATCTTTGACACAAGACTTGCACCGTTTTGCTAGTCTACCATGCACTTCCCTTGGCTTTGTTTTTCTAAGAACGATTTGCTTCTGGAGACTTGCACTGCTTTCCACTGCACCCAGCATCTCAACTATAGGAACTAAGGGTTTTATAATACAAATAAATTCAGTGGCAATTTTACAAACCAAATTGTGTATCCCACCTGAGCAACTTGTAAAGAATGCTCAATAGAACAGACCCCATGGCCAATCAGCACAACCCAGTGCGTGTTTACATGTTCAAAGCCACCTGCTGCAGGACTCAAGTGTCCCAAGTCCTTCAAGTGGGAAAAACTCAACCTGCTTTACTCAGTTAGGGGGTTTCCTGCTGTGAACACAAGTCAGTTGTGTTAATTCTCAAACACATCAAAGATTAAAGCAGTTTGATAGTTACCATACAACTGTTTGAATGTTTTCTGAGTATTCTTCCAGTCTCCATTACTGCAGTTACTGGACAAAAGATGGAATATGCATTGGAAGCGACAGCACAGAGACAGGAGCCTTGAGGAGTCTCATCAGAGTCTCGCAGACATCCATGTTTTCTTTCACCTGAAAGCCCTTATAAACCTTCATGTTTTTAACTTCATGTAACAAGAATGGCCCCAAATTTTAACTCTGGCTCTGAGCATCATAAGTAGGCCAGAGGACCTGAGAAGACTTCTTGCTCACATAAGCTTTTGGATTTATTGGAGATCAGTCTCTGCATTCCCAGGAATTTATCCACAGGCTCTGAACTCATTCACAGTGAGCTCTCTAGGCACACCCTACAGCATTCAAGCTAATTCTTCTCTCCACAAAATCCTCACAGGAGTCATTATGTGTGGCAGCCTCAGATTCTGCAGCTCCTCAGAGGAACAGCACAGCCAGCAAATACCAGATCAGAAGTATTGCATTTTACAAGTGGAGTTCCAGGCCCTATAAACCCAGTAGTTAGAGAGAAACCATAAACCAAAGCGCAGTGAAGCAGGTCAGAAACTGAGATGCAGGAAGGGCTGTTTTAGGCAATTATATAATTAGTGGTCACTTTTCAGACAAGAATAAAGCCCTGCTTGCCACCCCAGTCTTCTTCCCAATCATCTGCTTAGTAGCTCTACAGCTCGTGGAACTGGAGCTGTTTTTGAAGCTGACAACACACAATAGTTTATGTGTACTTGCTAAAGAGAAGCAGCTAAAATAAAATACTCAATAGGTAGTTCCTCAGAGAACTTTAAAGCCCAATTATCTCTGGGTTCAGTATGCAGATTCCCCTCATCCATAAAAAAAGAAACAATAGTACTTTATTAAAATACTAAATTTTATTTTTTCACATACATTTAGTCTCCCCACCATTTCCATTTGTCTGACCACCACCATGCCTTATCAAAACATTCCATACATACTTAAAATGAAGCTGAGGGTGGAGTCCTGTCTTTAAAAACTAAACAGGCATTTTGGACAACACATTCTTGGCAAGGTAATCTGGATGACATTTATCAGACACAGGAGGGAAAGCTCTTTCAGTATTTGTAAAAAGAACAGCCAAATAATGGTTACAGAAATAAGACTGCAGATTTTAACGAACTGTTTAAACTGTTTTCTTTTCTTACAGAGTCTGTCTCCACTGCCAGAGAGCTTGAATGACCTGGAAGTGTACACAAAAAGTTAGAAATTGAAATAAATTTTTAGAAATTATTTTTAGCTTACTATCACAACTTATTTCATAAAATACTGACAATAAATTATAACAAAAGTACATTCCTTTCAGAGAAAATCAAGTTGAGAAAGCATGACATTGGGTCCTTGTGCTAGAAGATTATTATTCACATTAGGTCACAATAGTAAGAATTCAGTGATGGTGAGTGAGAGGATGGGTGTGGACCAGCGAGGCAAATACTGGCTGAACTCTGCCTACCCTGGCTAATGCCACAGCAGGTCCAGTAGCTGAGGCTGACTATTTTCAACATTCCTTCAGGAACAGATCAATTTGTCCATCAGACAAGTTTACACCAAACCATTAAGGGAATCAGGAAAGCATAAGCAATTCTGTCACTGCAAAACTGACTTGATGGAATTTTGATAGGGAAATCTAAGACACATTTTTAGATTAGTCTGTGTAAGTAATAACTAATTCAGAAACTTGCTTCCTGATATCACCTTCTGGCTTGTGCTCTTTCAAGAGCTCTGTTGATTCTGCGAGAGAATGTGGCAAGAATGCCATAATCTCCATCACAAAACAGCTCAGCTGTCCCAGACACCTCCCCAACAAAAGGCTAAACACCAGACTGGTTGAGATGGCCAAATTCAGCAGCAAGGGAAACCACAGCTCATTTCCTTAGCCAATATGGTGCCAAAAGGAAAATTCTGTGGGTTTAGTAAGCAACAGACAATTTACCAACCATATAAAAGCTGGAAAAATGTAATAAAATACTAGCTTTCCCATCTTAGCCAACTAAAACCCTTAAAACCATTCCCATATATTTAACCTGAAGTATTGTTTGTGGTTTGCAACCCTTTAAAACAGTCCAAAGCCCATAAAGATTAAGAAGTGGAAAAGAATCCCTAAGGTTATAAAAGTTGTTGGACTTTGTCAAGCTCTGATGAATTCTGTTACCTTCTGGTCCTCCGTCCTGAAGCAATTCTTAACGTAGTTGGCAAATTTGGGCTCCAGCTTAGGAAGGGTAGAACCCTATTTGGAAAAAAACAAGCTTTAGGGTCTGCAGGTCATTTAATGCTTTTAAGAAATAACCTATGATGCTGAAAACCCCTTGCAATACATGGAGTTTGAACTCACCTGGCAACTTCCCACACTAATCTGCTTTAAACCATTTTAGGAAGTTTGTTTTTCAACCATGCCCAGGTATTTCTGACAGAAGTGGCTACACACTGTGCAAGATTCTTTGCTGATGCTGAAGAGCACAACAGTGTTCACCACTTAAAATCATTGTTTGTAGTAAACAGTCCCATGCTACTCAGATAAATTAGAATTCTGTATTTATGGACTCTTGTAGATTCTTAACTTCAGCTCTCTAAAGCAAAACATGAACTTGACCTCAAAACTCAAAACTCACTAATACACTGCTCATTAATACATAACTTCTATTTATTTAAAGAACTGTTCTAGAAACATTTCCTTGTAATCCCTGGAATTGTCTTTGCACGTGCTCAAATGTACAAGGCAGATTCAGTTAATAAATCATAGATACAGGTTTATCATCTTGTCTCCTAGTATCTCCAGGGAAAATAATACAGCATGCTATTTTAGGAGACACTGATTTCCTTTCACATGTCCCAAAGAAATACTTTCCAATTTCTCAGGTGAATCAGCTGAAACATCCCATGTCAATTAGGACAACACACTTAGCCACTCCCTGCTGGACAGCACTTCCCAGTAGAAACACTCTGCAGCACCAGATAATGTATTTTAAAGCTCTTTTTGCCAGTTAGCTGCTCTGCATGCTTCCCTCTGCACATGTTTACTGTCTGCTCACATGTCTACTGTGAGCAGCTCAGCCACTTGTGCTCACACTGTAGAAGTACCACTGCTGGTATCACAGAAGTATCACAGCTGCTCTGAGTCAATCCTAACAGCACAGCAGCATCCAGGGTTTGTGACCCACCAGGATGGGCCCATCCATCATGTCAGGCTCACAGTCCACGGCTCTGCATTTCCATCCTCATCACAGCCTGTCATTGCTCATTCTGCATCCACCCTGTATTTAAACACTTCTGCTCTTATTTAGCATTCCTGGAACAAAGCAGCCCCTAATAACACTAATGATCTAAGCAGAAGATGATCCTAATTCTTTAGGTGACCTTTGCCATTACATGGGCCAAAAAGTATATTATTTTCATTTTAAAAAACCTCAT